TGTTTACCTGTTTGATGACAACCTACTCATAATAAGTCTTGGTAACCTTATGTATGCTCTTCTATCTGTTAAATGGGACTAAAGAACCTTTAGTGTTCTTCTACTGGGTGTTGGAGGGTGATTCAACTGTCAAATGAAGGAGGTGGAGGGCAGTCTGGGAAACCTTGCCTTCCTTCTCAGAGTGGGACTATCTGGGAGGCAGTGAAGGGGCCATTGAGGGTCAAAAACTCTTTGAACAAACAGACATCTGTTTCTAATGTGATTTAGGAATTAAACTTGCAATGATCTAGGATCTGCTCTCCTAGATCTTGATCATCTTTTCATACTTGTTTAGTTTTTTGGCAGAAATTCCACAAACTGGGAAAAGAAAGAAAACAGTTTGAGCATTGGCTGATGAAGACGAATGACCAGCTGTTTCTCAAAGCTGGTCATCCTCTTGTGCCTCAGGGTTCATCTCTACTCTGGTATTTGCCGTACCAAATTTGTCTCCTGCCCACATGCAAAAATCTCTAGCTTTCATCACATAAAGACAAAATTAATGGCAAGAAGGAATGCCATAAATTCTGAGATTTAGAGTCCAACCCTGTAGTTTTTCCTTACATAAATCATTTATTGATTCAAACGGGAACTGGAACTGCATAAGAGGAAAAAATGTGGAGTTTGACAGTTTGCTATGAAATAAATAGAGCCTGCTTGAAATTAGGTATTATTTGGTATTCTGGCTTATTAAGTGCATTAGGTATGCAGTAAGGTAGGTTAGGGAGAAGTAAGTGAAGTTCAAGGAGTTGTCCAGCCTGCCCAGAGTACTCATTTAAGCATATGCTTTTGTTCCTGAGAAAATTAAATAAGTTAAAAGTCCTTCTCTCTCCAACTCCAATTTTTAGAAAAGTGCCTCATAACATGTGAAATGATTAATTAAAGAAGATTCCTCAATTATTCTCTCTGACCTGTCACTGTTACTTGTTTAGTCAGCGTTAAGAATTCAGCAGCATCTTCAAAGGCTTTTCAAGACACCACCTGTGAACTAATTATGCTAAAGGATGAAAGATTTGTAAGTAACTACAGCTCCTGGCAATGGCTGACAAAATAGATACCAACTATGGCCCCAATTTTTTAACTTTTCCAGCTAATTCTACATGCTTTAAGCTCTGTTGCTTAAAATTGAGAAAGTAAACTCCCAAATGTAAAAAAGGGGCTCGAGCAGAGGAATGTGCAAATGTATCATGCGCAAGTGTATCACTGTGGCTCTCAGTGTTGGTTTTGCATTAGTTATAAATGTTTTAAATGGTTTGTCTCCTGTTCTTTGGAACTGTAAGGAATCCTCAAGGATCTTTTTTTTTTTAAATGAAAATGTTTTTTATAAGTAATCATTGAAAGACATTTTGGGGATGTTGTCACATGGCTTATGAACATCTAGAAAATGTCACAAAACTGTGCTGAATTTTTACGCGCGCACCTTATAAATAATTTTTAGCAATTGATTAGAATAATTATACTGAATATGAGAAGAAAAAGCGGTGAGATGAAAGGTCTTTGGTATGTACCAATTTCAATGCTGACAGAGTTTGCACACTGTAAGAGGAGTAGAAAACTTTGGAACCTCATCGTTGGAGCAGTACTTCGCCTGTTTAGTTATTAATATTGTTCTTTGGCTAACTAGTGCTTAAGCAACACTGAGAAAACAGGTGGCTGATCAGAAAAGTGACCTGTAGGAGTCAGAGGCAGTAGCAATCCTAGGCTTAAGCATCTTAAGGTGTCAGTGACATTTTCCTTTTACACTGCTCCTTCCATATACAAAAATGCACATGCACATACTCATACACACTAATAACAACAAAAAGAATTTTCAAAGATGTTTTGAGAATAGGGCAATTACTGTGTATTCAGTGTTGGACTAAAATCTTAACAGAGATTTCAGTATCTTCAGGATTACTACAGATTCCTCGCTTCCTACAAAAAGTAACTTTCTAGTTTGGGCTTTCAGAAAAATCCTGGAAAACTCTACCAGTGATGAGAGTGTTGAGCGTCTGATCAGTCATTTACCTTGATTTATGGGAGATCCTTGGCCTGCAATTCTTTCCCATCTATCTGCAGTTAAACATTGGCTCCATTTCGGGTTTTTGCATTACTTTTGGCTCAATACTGAAACACCGGAGAAGGATCTGTCTCCTTCCAGCAGCAAAACCTTCTCCAGGAAAAACATCCATTGAAGCTGCAAGGAAGTGAAGTTGTAAATGACAGCAGTAATTAACTAACTAACTGCAAATCTTAGATTAAGTAAGAAGGAGGCTGATGGTCTGTATTCTGACTGATGCAAAACACAAGAAAAAATGGGTTTCTACAGGATTATCCACGTCTTGAATTCCTGTCACCGCGTGAGGGAAAGCAGGGCAGACAGACGGAGATCTGACGGGCGCTGCTAGCTAAAACCTCCTGGGCTGACTTTAAACAAAGAAGCAAATCTTATTTTACTGTCATAAGCAGCTATGGACAAATAAACTGGGTTTTCTGCTATGATCTCCCACCCCAACCTACTGTCTTCTCTGCTGATGCTACAGCACATGAGGGACTCAGTTTCTGACACTCTGGAAACTTTTTAATTGCCTCTGCAGCTGTAGAACTTCGTAGCAGCAGCGATGGTATTATCTAGTTATTTACCAGACTAAAATTAGAAAAGTAGAGGCACTATCGCAGCGTTATTTAATTATGTAAGGCAAACAGAACATTCCAACAGCAATGCCACTGCTGATACCAGTGCTGATTTCCAGGAGGAAGGACTCAATCCTAAATTTTTATCCATTTTAAGAGCTTTTCTCTTAAAAAAAAGCCCTTCCTGTTGTCTTTCAGGGGAACAGATGTTGTTTTTCATCTGGAAACTGACCTCAGGGTCCTTTCCTCAGTCATTTAAAGTTGGATTAACTCATGTAGTTTCATATCTATTGTAACTTTAGCTTCTAAATTTTTCCTCTGTTGCGTTCAAAGGCTTTCATATTGCAATTTCATACTGTACTTTGGAAAAAGACCTCTCTATTTAACACTATGCTCTCAGAATTAAGGCAGGGATCATGATGAAAGGATGCTATTCATTTCCATTCCTCCGTCTCAATCTTGCTCCCCAAAAATACATATAATTTTTCTCATTTTCCATAAATTTCTGCAAACAGCAAGAACTCTAACACATCTTGAAGCTGTATTACTTGAACATTGATTTTTTAAAGTGAGAAAAGACTGGGCTGTAGTGCTTACCTATGGAGATTAAAACCCAAAATGTTACTAGAGTCTATGCCAACCATAACCATACAGCACAAACCAGCATTCCCTGAACAGAGCTTGGAATAGTATCAGGCTAAGGGGGCTTTTCAACCAATCAAAAAACCCAGCGTTAAACGACACACACACTCAGGTTCTCCTATCAATACTTCGCACAATTATCACATCATCCATGACTGTTTTCTTCTTCCATGCTTGTGAGAGCTGTAAAAATTATTTCTTAACTTGTTTTCAACTGCTTAGAAGTCCAAAGGAACTGTGAAAGATCACAAGAATAGGAACTTTTATTACAAATACCATTGGCTTTTTGCAGGTTAAGTCCAACCCTCCCCTCCTACTCCTTCTGCTGCTGTGTTTTGTGATGAACGGTGGTCATACATAAATTGCTCAGTCACTTTCGTGAACGACTTTGCACTGCAGACATAGTAGATCTGCTGCATGTAAAAAAAGACAGAGTGCTTTGGAAAACTTGCTGCTGAAGCAGGGCACGTGGGAAGGCAGGCAGGCAGTGCCTGCGCACAGTTAGCGTCTCCCCAGAGGACGCTAGAGACTGCCCTTCCTAAGCCCTTTAATTAAAAGCACTGCAGATTTATACACTTGTCTTCTTTCTACTCCTGTAAGTTTTAAGGCAGGTGGATCAGTCTGCTGCCTAGTTTTTTCTTTCATAACTCTTTGTTAATTCTGAATTTTTAACTGGGAAGTAGATTACCTCAATCACTATGGCTTTCTGGCACAGCCTTTCTAATCTTTTTGTCTTAATTTGGAAATAAAAGCATACTCCATGTATAGGTTTTGCCAGAGGAATATTCTGCTTGTGTTGTCTCCAAGATGATCCTGATAATGCTTCCTAGACTTGTCCTTGAAGGAGACCTGGGCATTGCACATCTTACCACATCTATGCACATGGAAATGATGTCAGCCTCTTGGGTCTGACACTGTCACTGCATCCCCGGGAAGGTGTTTAAAGTGGAGCAATGGGAGCCAGAGCACGGTACTTGAGACTCGTGACTTACCCCTTCCAAACCCTCTGGGAAGTGGTTTGGAATATTATTACAGGCTGACCTGAAGCCATCTCTTAACAAGCTCCAGGCAGGGCAGACCCTGTTCGATAGCCTGCACCAGGCTGCCCAGCTCCACTGAGGGTGTGCTGCAGGGGAGCAGCAACGGGAAACCCCCAGGAAAATGGTGAGTCACCACACACGGGCAGGACCTCTTACCGCCTGCCTGCAGCACAAGGGCAGGCTTTTCAGCTCTCCAGGAACACCTTTGGGCACCCTAAAATGAGGAGGAACCCACAATGGGATCTTAGATCCATCCTCCGAGTCATTCAGTGATGAGACAGCAAGAAATTAATAAGGCTCAAACCAACGTTTACAGCAACACCAGAGAAGAGTCAGGTTATCACAAAGAGAAAGCACAGCAATCACACCGTGTAGCCGCATTGCACTGTGTGCATCCACTGCATCACCCTGGGGCAGAGAATGAATGGGAGAAGAACAGAGATGCGGGGAGGGGTTTTCTCAAAAGGGGAGATTTAAGAAGAGGACGACATATGAAGCCTGGAGGGAAGACAAACCAATGAATGCACAAAGACGGGAAGGAGACGGTCCAGCACTACCACAACAAAGCTGCCCGTAATCAATTCCAGTTATTGATATGACAATGCATCAGATATGGGTCCCTAAGAAAAAGTACCCAAACATACTTCGTGAATGTATGTGGATACTGACCTGGGCTTGAGACAGGACTAGAGGTAGTAGGCTCAATAATTTCTACAAAAAAGGGAAAAGGAAAAAAAAAAAAAAGAGAACATTTGGGAGTTAATCACACATGGAAGACAAATACAGAATGAGACAGCAAACAGTCATGCAACAGACACGACAATTTTATTTAAAGATCGGGCTGGCCATCACAAGCCTGTGACAAACATGCCATCAACCAGACTTCTGTGCCTACGAATCATACATCAGTGTCTGTCTTTTCCCAGCTCCGTCATTCACGCGTCACCAGTATACAACTTTGGGACCATCACAGAAATATTTTTGCCTGCCACGTTGGCAAAGCCACCCTTGGAGTTCTCAAGCTCAAAAACATTTCTCCTGGGAATGACTGAAACCTGGCTAGAAAAAGGTTTTTTTTCTCACTTTATTGAAGGTAATTTCCTGTGACGAATGTAAGTCAAGGTAACAATTTCGAACAAAGAATATTTTTAAGTAATAGTTTTGTGCTTTAGTGAGCTTTTAAAAATGCACATCTTTTTAATTATTTAAATCTTTCCAGAGGAAAACATTTCTCAAAAACATCAAACACATTTTGAAGATGTTTACTTCACCTGGGGCAACAGATACAAACAACAGAAAAATTTAGGAGAAGAGCACAATTCTCCAGCATTCGGTCTAATGAAACAATCACCTGTGGCTTTTCATTATAATTTTACTTTAAAATTCATTATTCTGAGCCTTTTTATTAGCTTTGAATAGTGCTATGCAAAATGAAATACCAGTCCCAATCAATCTTGCACAGAAGCAAGCTCCCATCTCAATGCAGCAATTCAATACTCTTAATAAAAAAGATTTAAGAAAATTACCAAGCTCAAAAGATCATTGACCATATCCTGAGTATAACAAGAAACTAATGAAAAAAAATGTGAGTGAGTTGATAACAATGGATGTGCAGGTAATAGCTGAGCACGCTCTCTACTCTCATCCAATTTTGCATTTTTCCCCCTACAATTACCTTTCAGGTTAATATGATGCAGAAATGATTCTAAGTGAAATAATAGACAAATATTTTCCCAAAGAAAAAGTTATGAAATTTCTCAAATTATTGACACAGGAAACTCTGCAATAGCCACAGCAATCTATTTGTGGGGTTTGAATTAATCTGCTTTCTTAGGAGAGAGGCACAGTGAAGGTCTTGGCTGACGTCTCATTGCGTGGGGAATGTGTGAGAGCCTGCCAGGGGAGAGCCTGCTGCAGGGCAGCACTGCTGGGCTGTCGGGGACATCCCCGGATGAGGAGCACTCTGTGTGCTTGAAGTGAGGAGAAAGGGAAACGCAATACAACAAAATGTTTCCAGCTGTTTAGAAAAACAGACATCCTCTATGAAATAAGGCTGTACTCCTGCACAGAGCAAACATGATTTTAGCAAGAGGAAAAGAAACTGTGTTAAAGAGAGACTCACAAAAACCCCAAGGAATTATCAAAATTCCTCAATTTTGTATTTTAATGACTGTTTTATAAGTTTTATACTAATTTGATTTAGTCATCATTAATTTCTTCCAAATCTTTATGTTCTGAGAAATTACATCCTGCTTCTCACATATAATTATCAGCTTTGCTTCAAATGCATTGTGCAATGATTACAAAAGTTGTTTTTCTGGCTGCCCTAAAATAACAGGATCTTTTCCTTGTGAATTTAGGAGTCAATCCCTCTTGTTGCTATGGCTTCCTATAAAGGAAAAGGTTCCTCCTGCTGCAGAATAACAACGTTCTTTGCAACAATCAAGTAAATTAACATACTCAATGAGTACAATATTTCATTACAAGTCAAAGTACCATACCCAAACCAGAAGGGATTTTACTAGGATCGTGCCTCTTTTGGAAACATTGGATCTAGACTTAATTATAGGTGCTTAAGGCAGCATAAAGTCACAGAACTGTAGCATCATCGAGGCTGGAAGTGAAGATGGTAATATCATGTATCATCCTTGCAAAACTCTCATTTTTAAATACATTATTAGATCAAGGAATTGGAGAGATGGATATATTTCTAGTTTCAAGTTCTAAAACTCTTTGCAAATCTTTATTCATGAAATTGTTCAGGTCTGCAGAGAGAAAACAAAACCAGCTGCTTTTCCTATAAGCATGCTAGGCTGGTTCATTAAAATTAAAATATATTAATGACTTCTTAGTAACACTGGGAGGCAGGGCTGTGTAGGAAAGAGCGGTACTATCTGTATTTCATTTTGCTAGGACCCCAATCCTACAGTATCAGGACTGCTCAAATTTTCAGGGATGGTTCTAAAAAAAAACCCATGAAAGTATAATGGAAAAATGTGATATTCTGTGTCATTTCTGTGTTTTCAGTGGAGAATTCTCCTTGAGCAGAACTTTCTAGATTTGTTTCATAAACCAGAAGAAAAGCAACATCTTCACACCACCTCCTAGTTTGCCCTTTATATACTTGGTGCTGTCCAAATTGCTGTGTGCAGGATCCTTGCTGTTATCTTCAGAATCATCTATTCAAGTGAGGCAAGCATGAGCCAAAGCATCTCATTATTTTAAAGCAGAGCTTTAATTCAAGCTAGGACCAAAAAGATAGAAACAGGAGCGTTCTGGGCATAGGGATACTGGCATAGCATCACTGGCTGCTAAACATAAATGGAAAGTTGGTAATTTCTGTAAAGGTCTAAATGTATGAATGCCCAAAACCACATAATGTCACCTGCTGGCCGCATCTCTCTTTTTCCTCACTGCCTGGGTGGGAAGGTTGCCTGCAATGGGGCAAATTCCTACCATCAACTTCAAACATCTGGTGAACGAGCAAGCAAGAAGGTCAAAACTTGTAGTGGGCATCTCTCCTGTGCCACAAGGCTCCAGGGATGCTCAAATAGGGCTTCTGCAGTGACTGTGCCGTGGAGCAGAGCTCAGCCCCTCTGGGAACCCAGACTCCTCTGGGAAGATGAGTCAGAACAGATTCAGCCAAAACAGAGTAGTGCTCTTTCGGAAAGCTGATGAAAGACTACAACTTATTTTCTAAAGTGTCTACAATGTACCTTTTACTGCTATTAAATGTTCAGCTCTTTTTAGAAATACCCTACCAACCATATAGTGAATGCTTGGGAATGCTGCCACAGATGTCACCATGGAAAGCAGAACTTCCCTGTGATGGTTTGGGACAGGTGAGTCTGGAGTTAGAAGCTCCTGTCCGGTCATTTTAGAGGTGCTGCCACGTGCTGCACCTCTAAAGCAACATTTTGATAAGGGTTGGTACACCCAAGGCCTGGTGAGAGATGCCCTCTGGGGTCAAGGCTGCATCCCTGACTCGGGCAGCTTTAAGAAGAAAAACAGGGAAGGTTGAGAGAAGCTCAAGAGATCTCTGGAATGGTGCATAGGAGGAGAAAGAAAACAAAGTAAATGTAGACAGGAAAGCAAATAAAATATTTGATGGGAGATGGATTAAGTGCATAGACTGCTGAGAACAGCAGTCCGCTAAGCGATGCTGTCAGAAAAGGTGTACGAATCACAGCCCGATACCGAACGCGGCCAGGGAGAGATAACAAAACTGCCTGTAAGCAATGCAGAGAGTCCTGGAAGTGGGCAAGTGTGACCAAATGCAGCACAACGTGGAGCCGGGGTGGCAGAGGGTAGAGAGCACTCCAAGAAGAGTGCTGCATCCTATGCCAGAGTTGTGATGGGAGTAGAGAGAAGTAAGAGATGATAGCAAGCGTAAAACAAACCATCTGGGTCAATATTACTTTGAGAAAGATAGAGAAGAGTCTTCTAGGGACAACACAAGAAAATCTATTTATCTGCAAAGTCAGATTTTGATGAAGACTAGAGAGCTTTTAAACAGAGAAATGCACCAACATGTCCTGGTGTGTAACAGCCCGACCACACAGAGCTGAAGGAAGGGGAAATGTGGGACAAGGTGTGCAGGTGTCTGTACCACATCACTCTGGGAAGAAATAAGACCTTATGTTCTTTTAAATCCTATTTTGGTTAGCAGTGGTGAGCACATGCTAGAGCCGCCTGCTGGAAAGAACCTGGCATTAGAGGATCAGCAGCTGAGTGAGTTCAAATAACATGGGAGTAATAAACCCCACAGACTAGTAACTACAGCTCTAATCCTCAAAAGAGAAATCTTTGGAAACTATAAGCTACTGAAGGTAGCTGGGACAAGAAAGTGCAGTTTAATGTCAAGAATGTTTAACGTTGCATTTTACCAAAAGGAAAGAGATAGTACCTAGAAATTCCTTTCTGATCCCAGGCAGAAAAAGCTTGCAGAGAAAAACCTCTTCACAAAATGGGAAACCACCCCATGAAAGGCTACACAGCAAAAGGAGGAAAACTACAAGGAACGAAAGGAATCGGCCACAAAGAAGCAATGTTTGGGAAAGCCAGCCAGGTGGGGATGAAGCGGGAGTTGTCCAGGTGCCCAGCTGAACGGCACCTTGGAAACGAAACCACAGCAAACCTGCTGCAAAACACTCTTGAGCCCCATAGATACCTTAAGAAAAATGAAAGCACCTCTGCTCAAAAGGTAGGGCAGAGAAACTCAGCATGGACCTAACAATTTTTTCTTTTCCTTCACTTTTAGCAAAAGCTTAAAAGGTGGCATTCCAAACAACAAAATGGGAATTGCTCGACTGAGGTTAAAGCAAAATTCAATCAGCTCAGGATACTGAGGCCAGAGCGATTTAAATATGTTTGCACATAAAATTATCAAAACAACAGTAAATTCATGGGGAGGGGAGGTCAGCAGGTACAGCAGGACTGAGAGTTAAAGGTATGTTCAAGGAGGGTAAGCACACCCAACCACAACTTCATGGCATTCAAGGCTTTAGAAGAATATTAGGTGGAAGGAGCTATTAATGGGTATAGGCAGGGAAAAATAAGCAAGTAAATAAAAAGTGGCTATTAGTTTACTAGAGTCCAATTACTCGTAATTATTTGCCTAGCAAAGGAACTGAGTAATTCCCCAGCCCCTGTTTGCCTGAACAAACGGGTACAAACTGAGAGCGAATGCATTCAGAAATCAGAAGTGGGTC